TCCCTTCTGAAGGTAGGCAACAACTCTGCTTTCTTCCCTAATAGGCTAATACGATTTTCCCCTTAGGTATTATGACAATTTAGCTCTCTGTAGAACATGAATGTTAAAGGGGGGAAAAAATCATATCTTTCTTAGTTAATAGACTTAGAATAGTGATTTTTTTTTTTAAAAAGACCTACTTAAACTGCTGCTACCTAAAATGTTTACCTTAGTCAGAAAACTCTGATAGTTCAAGATAAATGAAAACATTAGCTCATGCAAAAGAATTGCTTATTTGGTAAATATGATGTTCCCTTAGAGTAAACACTGAGAATAAGGGCGTCCATCCTCAGAGATTGCCTTTGGTCAGTGTTCTGTGGTTTAGTGGGCTTATATTTACAGGCAAAGAATAAATAATTTAGATAGCATCTTCTAGCAGAAGACATTTCAGTGGTTTGAAAACTTGACTCTAAGTTAACTGTTCAGCCTTTGGAGATGGATCATTCCTTTTGTTTAGCACACTGGTGCAGTATTTAGATTAATGTGTAAGTTTGTATTTAACCTGACAGAAACCAAAAAGCCAGACCTGCCACATGCTAGCAGTCTTCCTGGGGCCCTGAGAGACGTACATGCAGTAAAGGGGACCCAAGTCATTAGTTTGTGATTAATGTTTGTAGACGGTAATATTTCTACCATTTTATGTATAGAACAACTGAGTCACCAAGAGGTTAAGTGTCTTGCCCTTGATTGCAAGGCTGTTTAGTAGTCAGGAAAATTTAGCACTCATGCATGCACATTGACCACAAGTTTGCATCCAATTCTCTCTCTCTCTCTCTCTCTCTTTTTCCCTCCCTTTCTCTTTTTGATTGAGACAAGGTCTCACTCTGTCACCCAGGCTGGAGTGCAGTGATCTCTGCTCACTGCAACCTCCACCTCCTAGGTTCAAGTGATTCTCCCACTTCAGCCTCCGGAGAAGCTGGGACTAAAGGCACATGCCACCATGCCTGACTAATTTTTGTGGTTTTTGTAGAGACAGCGTTTCACGATGTTATAGGCCAGGTTGGACTC